GGGGGGGGGGGGGGAGGTGTTTATGGGTCTCTCAGTGCAGCGGCGTGACCCTTGAGCTGATTTCACTGCAGATTAGAGCCAGACAGCATCGAACCTGACTGCGGACACGAGCTACTGCATCCATCCATAGAATGAAAAAGATGATCGCGTTGTATTGGTAGTCTTGCGAGCTATTCGTGAGAATATAGACAAGGGAACACTTCTCTGCAGCAGCTGGAAAACCACTGCGAAAAGCGCGTACTCATGGGCGTGCTTGCCGAACGTACGTGAGGCACACAGTGGAAGCAGTGGAGCATCATCTCAAGTTGCGCGAGCTAGGAAGTGCCCAGGCAGATTGCTCGGTTCGTGCATGCCAGGTGAATCGTGGATGTGCATGAATGCCTTCGATCAACAGGATAATGAAAAAGCCTTTGCGTGTGTGAGATTGATTGTACGCCGAACAAGCGAGTCTCCACGAGGTAGGACCCTCGAGACGCGGCAATCTCCGTCACATTGATATTGAAGAAGCAAAAACAATGATCTCATTCCGATTTTTCTTCAAGAGCCGTCCCAGGTTGTGTACACGCCACCAGTGTGCTTCAGACTTCATAATAGGAGGGCAACTCACAACAAGAGGGCAACAAAAAAACAAAAGAAATATGAAAGCACGGGTGGGGGCGGTTTGGCTGTTGCCGCGTCCATCCAATCACCTGCCGTGGCGCGAGCACGTTTCCGAGCAAGTGATACGTGGCAAACACCAGGCACGATATGACGGCGGGCTGTACGAAGAACATGGCCTCGTTGATCGCGCGAAGCAGGGTGGCCTTGAGCAACACACGGATCTCCTCTGCGCGCACCCTGGTCGGGTCGCCAAGAGGCCAAGAGAGAGAGGGATATACATATATATAGAGAGAAGGGGAGTGAGAGTCAGGGAGAGAGAGAGCAAGCGAGAGAGAGAAAAAGGGAGAGAGAGAGCAAGGAAGAGGGAGAGGAAGAGGGAGAGAGAGAGAGAGAGAAAGACACACAGACAGACACACACACGCACACAAACGGCGATTTCGTCACGAGGAAGTGCCTTCAGATACTGTTTGGGGTCCATTGGCACACTCGATTTCCAAAAAAAACGACGAAGCGGGGGTATAAACGCGCTGGTCTTCGTGACGGTAAACAAACAGCTGGCTTGGTAATATTGATGTATGTGTATGTGTGATGTCCCTTGGATATGAGTCACCAACGTTCTTTCAACACGAAAATTACATCATCTAGTTGATAGAAACAAAGGTTTTGAGAGAGAGTTGCAGAAAGAGACAGAGAGAGACAAAGCACAAGCGGAACACAGCAGTAGGAACAATTCACCTGCCTCGTGGCAAGAAAACCCCAACCCACCATTCGTTGCTACAACAGCATCAACATCAATCACTAGTCCACTACTATGGCATTGCTGTTTGCGTGTTCCCAGCCCATTGCCTGCGAATCTCCTTCTCTAAGGCGGGCTCCCAGGCGTTGATCTTCATCAGCCTTGCACCCGCGACGGCCTGATTGGTCAGGTTCACCCTTTCGTCCGTCAGCACTGTCACGCGCTGCCGCACCTGCGAGAACCTGTGGGAAAACGCCCCCTGGACGCGCATGAGGGGGAGAAAAACACGGCGAAAGGTCCAACGTCAAACGCCGCGGGAAAGCGGTAGCAGCAGCGGCTGAAGAAGAAGAAAAAGAAGAAGAAGAAGCAGCAGCACCACCACCACCACCATCATCAACAACAATAAATGGGATGGCCGTGATGTGTGCTGGGTCGGTAGGCACCGGTTCCGCGCGCTCGGCGTCGCCGTCGTGCAGCCGTATTTGTGAGAGTTGAACGCCAGTTCTCCAAACAACAACAGGGCAGTGAACATCAGACGCTTGACATTCCGCCTCGTGTTGCACGCAGCACAGGGTGGGCGTCATGATGTCGTTTACCACGCAACACAATCTAAGTGCAATGGTGACGAGGGAAAGGGGCGGCTGAACCCTGCTCGCGATAGGAATCGAGGCGAGCACCGCACGAGGAAGGGAGAACAAATTATGTAACACTGCGGCCTTCTTCCTGTGTGACCTCGGCTGACGCGCCCAGGAATAATACCGAACGATCTAAAATAACTCACGTCCGAGCAAGAGGGCCGAGGTCAACACACGTGTAGGGTTACATTCCGAAAGCAGACTCATTCTTGCTATTTTCTCGAGACAGGCAAGCCAACAAAATCCGGCCGAGACACGCGACGCGCTTGACGCCACGCCTGCGAAACAAGTGCTTTCGATCAGTTTCCGAACAACAGCAACCCTGCAAACGTCCCTCCTCCAACGACAGCCGCACCGCAACCCCCTCTCTCTCAACTGCACCCCGCACGCGAACCTCCCGTCTGCTCCTACGCTTGTTGCCAGCATCGCGCACACTCACCACAACAACACACCACAACGACGCCCTGCCCTCGGGTCGCCGCCACCCTCCTACGCCGTAACTTTTTTCGAGCGGTTTCAACGCGATTCACGGCTACCCCCCCGTAGCAACGACCGACGGGACGATGGCGTCGAAGGTGTAGAGTGGGAGGGAGGCTTCACACGTGCAAAGGCAAAGTCGGACAACGCACCTGCATGGGGACTATGAGCGCGAGGGCGGCAAATCCCGCCAGAAACGACACCCCGACTTGGTCCAATCCGAAGTACAAGATGACCAAGCTCTGAATGGGAGCCCCCCAGAGGTAGTTGACGAACGTGCCACCCTTCTGAAACGCCTCTACGTCGGTCGTCGTCAGGTTCACCAGGTGTCCGGTGGAAATCTGGCGCACAAACCAGGCGTGTATTCTGTTGCGAATGTTGTTGTTGTGGTTTTTGTTTGATTGGGTGCTGCTGTTGTTACTGTTGGTTTCGATCGTCCGCGTGGCGGGTTGTTGTTGCCGTCGTCGACGTTGGTGTGGTTGTTCTTGTCGCTGTTGTTGTTGTTGCTGTTCGTGCCTCCATGATTGTCGCCGTTGTTTTTGACTGCAAACACGTATTTCTGCAGCTTCCTTCGTATGCCGACACCCGATGAGTGTGTTACAAGTGTTCAGCAATAAAATTGGACTCGCGTGCCGCAGAATGCAAGCACGTCACGCACGTGGTAACGCCTTTTTGCGCGGCAGTCATGACAACAAATCCTTGACTCATCTAGCTCCGCCAACGCTACCGAGAACTCGCACCGACAAAACCAAAAAATCGCCAAAAACAAAGCGCGTGCGCTTCTCGTACTGTTCCCGCTGTCCAGAGGACACAGCAGAGCAACACGGACCTGTCCCAGCAAGCTGAGGCGAAGTCGTAGAATCTTGTCGTAAAGGATGGTGGTGGTGCTGATCCTCAGCTGCATGCCCAGCATGTACCCCACGAAGTTGAAATGGTGGAGAAAAAAGCTGAGATGTGAAGCAGCCGGCCGGGGGACAACGTGGTGGTTGATCCCACACCGTCGTGGTCCACAGAAAGACGAAAGGCCCACACACAAGCAGTGGATGGAGAAAACAGGAGAGGGTTAGGGNNNNGGAAGGGGGGGGGGTACTCATAGTCGTGCATGCCGTAGTCGATTGACCATTGACCTCGCATCCCGACAAAGCCGGGAAGGAGCACGCCGGGTTCTCACCGGACCAGGCTCTCACATCACCAAGCGCGAAGCGCCATGAGGTATTCGGCGAGCCGCATGAAGGGTGCGCTGCATCCTGCTAAGGGTGCTCGGCATCTTTGTGCTTACTTCCTTGCATGCGGATGACAGCTGCGTATGACCTAATTTATTATCTGGTGCTTTCACTTCCAGACACAGTTGTAAGCACTGTTGGGGTGGAAGTATGTATTTCGTGGAACAGAGGAACAACCCTAAAAGGAAAAAAAACACGATTCAAATAATCAAAGCCTGGATGTCGCTTGACATACCGTGGGGGAAACGCATTCCCACAGAAGCAGCAGAAACAACAACGACAACAGCAACAGCACCATCAGTAAATGACGAGAGAAGCAACGTCAGCCCACCCAATGAACAACCCGCCCAGCACGACCACGGCGGCGTAGGTCCAGCCCTCCCAACTTGCCGAGGCCTCGTCGTCGAAGTATCCGATCAGCCACCCCAGCGCCAACGCCTGGTTGGTTATGCCCGGTTTCAGCGCCAAAGAGGTGGTACGCAGTGGGCTCTAGGGCAAAGGTGTTCGTGCTTTCGTCCCTCAGACAGAAGCCCACACGATAAAGTACAACCGCACAAGGACCCTAGGAACTACGAAAGTATGGGTAACTCCCGGAACGAGGATATACGCACACATGGTGCCCCTGCATGGGGCCACCGATCATGGTTTTCAGTAGCGCTTTCTGTCCATTGGTCAGCCGGTTGGCGCAGGCGATGCTAACAACAGAGACACACATAAGCATCTCTGACTAGCAAGACTGACGTGTTTTCATTGGTCAGCTGGTTTGCACCATCGATGTCATTATTAAAAAACACACACACGCCCCCGCGCGGGCTTTTTGTTCTGCTGTAAGGTTGACTTTGTTTGATGTGTCAGCCGGTTCGTGCGGTCGCTATGCACACTCAAGAAACACGGCAGATGCTCTAGGCACGAGCAGAGGCGGCCTCACTACTTCTCGGTTCCCCTCCCCCTTGCCCACCTGGCCTTCCTCGGTAGGAAACCCGACGATTGCACAACAGGCCCGGAGCAACTAGGATCCCCACCTCGTTCCACCATCTCCTGTTTGGCACCCAGCCGCAACGACATCCACCCCTGCAGCAATACCCCTCTCATGCCCCCCGTTCCTACCCACCAATACTCCTCCTGTAGGACGACCGCCACAAGATTTCAGAACTCACCGCTGCTAGACCCCCCATTCCGCCCCTGCTTGCCCCACACCTGAATGATGCGACAAATGCTATCCCCGATCATGAGCAACGCTGTTAGCGTCAGTCGCCACTTGAACGTGGCCACCAGAGCCCTCAGGAGGGTGGTGCCCTTGCGCCTGCCGCGGCTGTGCTCGCTGTCTTCGCCCATCCTGGCCCTCTCCCTGCAAATGTTCGTTGTGACGGTCGGGACGGCACCGCGGGCACAAAAACAAACGTTCGCCGTGGTTCCGTGCCGGAGGGCCTCGCGCCGCCAAGCTGAAATGGGCCAGCATCATATGTACTTGCAATACTACAGCGCAGCAGTGTTGCGTGAGACTCGTCGAGGGGAGAGAACACTCCAAAACCGACAGCGCGGTCCGTGACCGCTCTTTCAAGTTGTGTAGCCAAGGTTTTCGAAGTGTGAGAGCCAATTCCTGTATGACCAAAAGGTCCACGGAACCTCGATCGAGCACATGGGGAAGGCCGCTTTGGTGAAAAAAACTAGTCTAGAAGAGAAGTGTGCCATGCATGGGAACGGTTGGCGGAGCAACCCCTTTGACCAAACCAAGAACGTCAGCGAAGCACGCCTGTCGATGCCACACATTGTCAACCGAGTGCGGACACCCTGCCCCTCCCCAGGTTGAAACCACCCAACACTGAGTTACCTCTATGTAGCAAATTGTACTCGCGGCACGATCTGCAAGCTTATGGGGTCAGGCTCCTTGCGTTAGCACAACTCCCCGGCGCGGAGGTTGTTTCGTTCTTGTCGCCTTTCGCGAGTTCAAGTAGCATCCCCATCTCTCCAAAACACGATATACACTCACCATTCCCAGTTGCGGCGGAGCATGTCATAGAGATGTCGGCTGTGTTCGGGTGTTCTCCGGTGGTCCGAAGCGGAAACCAGCATGCCATGGTATGTTCCACGGCGGTGTTTCACCGTGAGAGAGGTCAAGCAAAAACGCCAGGGGTGGGAGAGGGACAAGAAGAGGGAGCGGAGACGTCAGGAGGAATGACGGAAGGGGTTGCACACGACACGTGGGGAACGAGGGTAGGGAAAGCAAGCTGAACTGAAAGAGAAAAAGACACAAAAGAACAAGGACGGGGGGAAATGGTGGGTGACAATCATATGATACACAGAAAAACTTCACGAAACCGTCGGGTTAACCCCCTTGTCTGCAAAAAATGTTCGAGGTACTGGCACCCAATATCGTTGACAAACATACCCCAGAATGTTCAAGGCATACCCCTTCTCGTTCAGCGACAGTGACGCTCCCTGCAGACTGTCGAAATGGCAATCGCAGACCACCAAATTTCCACATTTTCTGTCCCCTTGTCGAGCGCAGACCACGCTGCGTGTTGCACTGCACACCACCGTTATCTCTTACAATTTATTCTTCTGCCGTCACACCTGTGGTAGTCTGCGGTGCAACGCGCTCGTTTCGAGGTCTTCGGCGCGGTAAGCCCACACCAAAAAAAACTACCCCATTTTGTGCCCAAACACGCGGGGTACACCCCCTTTCGTCAATACCCCGGCGAGGCTGCCCACCGGAAAGGAAGATCAACCATAGTTTCCTCAACAGCCGGATCTTGCCCTACAAGATTCGAAGCCACACGGGGCACGAACAAGTGCGTTGCTGCGTTGCACGGCAATCGTGGGGCCCATCGTGAAGTTGAAACGGTTGGTCTAGGTGCTCTCATGGCCGGTGGGGGAAACAACGAATCTACCACCCTGTTTGAATATATGGCCTTCCATAGCCCACCACCTGGACCTCACCCTACAAGACTCAACTCGACACTCAAGCACCGAACGGAATTGTGGGGTTGATGCACACACAGCAAAGAGCAGTAAGCCGCAGCTGACGGGGGCAACACGACAATTTTTCCCCTCCACACAGCCTCCTACACGTGAAGACCGGAACACTGCCTTCTTTCTTCCTGCACGCAACAAGTAGCAAGCACACCTCGTTGGCACCCGGGTGATCGTACGAAACCACCCGCCCGAAAGTCCACAACACCGCGAGACCCAGGGCGACCCCTCACGTTCGAGCATTGGGAAGGTCCGATCTACGTCACACGCGTGGTGAACATCAAGTGAACAATCCTCCCGTTGCCAAAGATTAAGCCACGGGCCTCTGAGAGCAGGATCCCACTGAAGGGAAACAGCTCCTAGACGCATCTCAGGTGTCTATTTAAGGGAAGGTCCAGGTATCACTCTTGCCTGCTTCGAGGTGTGATCGCGACCTTCAAATCGCCGAGCTCAAACTCAACCCGCATGATACTTGCATGATACCACGCTTTTTCGTACCACGGCCAAGACATACATACTTACAGGCAGACATGACAGGGTTCGTGTAAGAAGTTCATCGTACGTTATTCTGGAAGTATGGTTGGACGCTTTTCGTCTCGGATATGTCTCCAGGAAATATACATCCAGCAGCTCTACAGGTGCTTCGATATCACTACACGAATGTCCATGGGAAATCTCGCGCAAGTCCTAGAGCACAATGTGCTGTGCCCTAGCCACAATTGAAAATATACAAGGGTTTATCGGCAACGGTTTTTTAGGTGGACAGGTTTTCGGCGGTACTGCCATTTGGCGGTAATTGTACCGCGGAAATGCCTGTTTTGGCCGAAACGACTTTGGCGAAGGCGGTCAAACAAAAAAAGGCGGTGAATTTTCGGCGGTAACGCCTTGCGGCGGGAATTGTTTTGGCGGAGGGCGGTCACGCGTATTTCGGCGGTAACGACTTTGGCGGAAGCGGAAAAACAAAAAAACGGCGGTACAACGGCGGATTACCGGGACCGCCCACCACGGCGTTAATTTCACGGCGGTATTATTACCGAGTAAACCCTTGAAAATAAACATGCCCGGAGTTGGTGTCCCGCCTACATGTTTCGCCAGGGTCCACGTTTGATTTTGTCAAGGTGCGCAATTTTCACGCAAGATTTTTCCAACACCAGCTTTTGGACAGATCTTGGCCCAAGATTTGCTCCGAGGTGGCCTTTCGGCCGAATCTTCAACATCTTGCTCTGCTGGAAAAAAATCAAACGTGGACCCTGGCGAAACATGTAGGCGATCTGTAGACATATTAGCCAAAGCTGTGACTGTTCTCAAAGGTCGAACAGCTGATTCGCACTCGTTCGGGAGGCAGACTGCCCAAAAGGTCGAAAAAGTAAACATTTGTCGTAAGAAAGGAAGATCAAGATTTTTTTGCCATAAACAGTGGTCTAATAGGAGATTTTCAGCCCCCAGCTTGATTCACAAACCAGCCTACTGTATCGAAGCCAGTGTACAGAGATCGTCCCGCAGGTTATCTACCAGCATCGGTTCTATTTAGCAGGTTTCCGAGGCCCAACGGCGAGGGTCGAAGCCAATGTGCCAGCGCCGGAAAATCGACCACGATTCATCGAGCGGAATTTGCTTTACTTGTCACATTTTCGTTTGTCGCGCTTGACCACAATTTTCACCGCCTTTCTGTTGCAACGACGACGAGCGCAATCGCGGGAACAAGGCAAATACGAAGCAGCATTCTGCTACCTATCCACCCTAGTTGTCATTCCCCCGTCACCTGATGCTCGTGGTGTGTGCTACACGTTTCCTTACTGAATATCTCGACGGTTTCCTACAGTCTAGAGTAGTGCCGGTACCGGCATTATAGCGAAATTTTCAGACCCTCAGGAATGCTGGAATCGGTTGTTGAGGCCGATTCTATCAAATGCCGGTCTCCTCCTACAGCAACATGCAGGTGAAACGGCCAATGAAAAAAAGAAAGAACATGTTAAGCCTTTGCTCCATCGGCCGTTTGATTTTCGATTTAGGTACACAAACTTCATTGGGCAGTGGTCAAAATACGGTATACCGTGCTGGAATGTGGCCAAAGCACGGTACAGGGTAGAACGGCATACAAACGAGGCTGAATGGAGCCACGTGATTGGTCGAAATAGGACCGCATCTCCGGTGGCCAATATATCGGACGGTATACCTTGCAGAGGCCACTCAGCTCGCGAGGCCACCGTGTACGGTAACCACATGTACCGTGTTTTGGCCACCTCGAGCGAGGCTGTTCGCTCAACCGACCGACGCATGTCAGGCCTCTCGCCAACGCCCCGCCGGTGACGTGGACGCGCAGTGCACACGCGATCGCGGACAAACTTTTGGGATGGATGCATTCCTTCTCTCTTTCTCTCGCATCTCGCACACCACACAACCACAAATTATTCACACACCACACACCACACACCAGCACCA